CTGCCTGTCTGCAATTCAATTAATTATCTCGCTTTATTTGCCTGCTTATGTACTAAAATAGAGGGCGCGTAGAAAAGACTAGAGTTGCCAGGAAGAGAAATGATCCTCCTAGAATACCAGCGCGCATGCTTCCAGCGTCACGTGACTTCCACTGTCGTAACAGTAGGTTTTTAATAGTAGTTATAATTAGATTGCCTTCAGCAATTCTAAAAAAAAATGTCTCTATACGTCCTGATCAAGACAGACTTACCTCTCCGTACCACATTTATTACACACAAAAATATTAGCATTTTAATAGGCCCTTTTAACATTTTTTACCTTCCAGATCTTTGTACCCACATCCCGATCTTTTTTTGTCTACCCAAGTTTCTGCTAAACGGTTTTACACATGGGCCTTCTTTTCGTCCACATAGCAATACGAAATTTCACTGTTTTTCAACAATGCTTATAGTTATATCGTAGTCTAAAATTAATATTTAGTGTTGATGTTTCATAAGCGCCAACCAACGGTTATCGAGAGTGTAACAAAATATTAGGCGTAACGCTAACAACATTTGTTAACGCAAACACAAAGGGTTATTTCATGTCACAATAACTCGAGTTATTGTTTAAGTTTTAAAGCGTTTCTTCAAAACATTTATTTTTCGTTATTCCTACATTGAGGATTTTCGATTATGGTTTTGTGTGACATCATCTAACAACGCCTTTTTCCTACAGAATCGATAAGCAGAACTGAATGAACAAACTGGCCTAACAAACGTGTCTATTAGTACCCAACAGTTCCGTTTGACAAAATTTCCCCAAGCCTAACATTAGGGTTAGCCAATTAATCGTTTTTTACTAAAGATAAATGTATATGAAATCTGTTTATTGCAAAGATAACAAAAGACTGAACGAAATGTGTTTTAACGCCAAATATAGTTAACATGTTAATTAGTTCGCGATAGTTCTGTGCTGCTTTAACAACTATTCCTGTCTTATTTCATTAAGTTCGCAACGTAGTGTCACGTGTATCCAAGTTCTTTACATCAAGAAAGGAAGCAATTAGAAGTAAATAAAAGTTTTAAAGCATTATTTTCTTATTTTGAACGCTTATATTGGAATTGAATTTTTCGCACAATCAAGGTTGTTATAAAACCTTATTTCGCAACCGTTTTCTTATAAAATATCCCTAAAAATAACACATTTATTGAATGAGATTTATGTGTAATTTATTGTAAGTATACAGGCATTTCGTTATTACTTATCAATATTATGGGTTACATTATTTTATTCTTGTCCAGTGCTAAATATTAACTGCATGTACATAATGTGTGACTCAAGGTAACAGTTACATTATTTTATGGTTTTTCAGGGCTAGCTATTAGTTGCACGTACATAGCAATGTGTGACTCAAAATATGAATTACATTAGTTTATTGTTGTCCAGTGCTAGATATTAATTACATGTACATAACAATGTGTGACTCCAGATAATTTGTCATGGTAATTAACACAACAATAGTTATCTGGTGTTTTCTTTTATACGTTTTATTTTGTTTCTGGCACCAGGGGTATTTGAGATTTGGTATTTTCATGGTAAATAAATAAATTAGATGGAAGATATATTTTCAGTTATTCGTAATTATAATTGAAACATATAAATGTTATCGTTATGTTTTACCTTTGTTCACTGTATATGAATAGCCTGATTACGTAAAGAATAAAGAAATATTGTACTTTAAACGAAATAATGTGTTTCTGTTGGTACACAGTAATTAATATTTCCCTAAATTTTCATTAAAATGGATATGGAATGATAACTATGAATTGTTACGAAACGTGTACCTACAATCGAAACTAGTGTATTTTAACAAGAGTTTTTTGGATGACTGAATATGAAGTATGTACACTGAGTGGTCACAAGTAAATAGACACCTAATTTTTCGTCATTTAACTGATTTCTGCTAACTAATTT